GAAAAAAATAAATCTGTGGAATGATTAAAAGAAAATGCAGGTGAGAATTTATTTGATTTCAAATAAGGGAAGTGCAACTGTTCTAACAGCAAAAGAAAAAAGTTATAAAAAAAAGATTAGGGGATCTGAGTATATAAAACTTAAAATTTATATGTCAAAAATCCATGTAAACAAAGAAAAATATGAACAATAAACTGGGACTAGCGATATACCCTATGACAGTTAATACACGCTTTTTCTTAATATACAGAGGTTCCATAAGTAAAAAGGCAAATAGCGCAAAATGAGCAAAGAGCATGAATGAGCATGAATGTGCAATTCACAAGACAAAGAACCAAACGTCATAAAAAAAAGTTAAATAGCATTAGTAGTCAGTGAAATGAAAATTAAAACAATGGGGAACAATTTTAAAAAAGTTAATGCCCAGTGCTGATGAGAAGCATGAGAAATAGCACACTCATACATTCCTACTTGGAGGGTAAATTGGGACACACTTTGTGGAAGGCAATTTGGAAATGTGGATTCAAAGTCTTTAGCCTAGTCATCATATTTCTAGAACTTTACTTAAATAACCAGAATGCACAAATATTTTTTTGCAAGAATACTTATTTTGGTCTTATTTGTAATCGTGGAAATGTAGAAGCAATTTGTATATTTTAAAATAGGGAATTAATCAACTCTTAAATTATTGTACATGCACAGGACAGTAAATTATATAGCCATTAAATCTGATATTGCAGAAGAATCATGACCAGGTACCTACTCAAGGTGTATTAGTGAGAACATCATTCACCAAGCAGAATAGAGTTTCTAATGAATTCTGTAAAAGAAAAACAAGACGGAAAACCTGAACGCCAGAATGTTGACAGTGGATATTTCTGGGTGGTTCGAATGGGGTGAGAGGAGGTGTCTGTACGGCAAGTGTTTTTATGCACTCTCTCTTTTATCTTTATACTGAACATGCGCTAATTATGCTATCTGGACAGAAAGGCATATATTTTTTACTGGACTCTCGCCCAGAAATTTTTTCTAAGAGAGACACAGAACCTAGAAGCCATAAAGTAAAAGAAGGAGCCACTGAACCACAGACACTTTTAAACTTTAGTGTGGCCAAAGACATTATAAACAAAGTTGAAATACAGATGACAAGCTGGGAGAAAATAATTGCAATACTTAACAGTGCAAAGTTAATACTCCTCATTCAGCAGCTCCTACAAAAAGACAATTCATTAGCAATATAAAGAGATAGCTTCAGACCAATCTAAGGAAACGCTATCTAAGATTTTTTTTTACAACCACACGCACATACTTGCAGATATCTGCAACATCACTAGTAATCAGGGAAATAAAAATGACAGCAAAAAAAAGGGATCATCTTTCCCTATTATATTGGAAAAACATTCAAAGGATTGATACTATCTGGTGTTGGCAAAAGAGTAAAATAATCTCACTCAATTGCTTTTGACAGAAGTACAAATTGGTAACGACCCTGTGGGACCATTATTTTCTTCCACCTATCAAACATCACATACATAAACAATGACCCCACAAGCTCCCCACTTAGAGCCTTATCCTAACAAATGTGCAATGCTTGAGGATACGTGTATAAGTTGGTTCATTCTGCAGGGTTATTTGGAGTAGGAGAAAAATGAAGGGAAGTTAAATGTCCATCAGTAGGAGGCTGGATAAATAGACAATGGTGCAGCCGCGGCATGAAGCGCTGTGAAGCTGTCAGAAAGGATCTGGTAGGGCTGTGCATGCAGCCACACGGGGCAAGTCCGCACTGGGCTGTGCAGTAAAATGACCGGGGTTTGGGACAGTGAGTAGCTATGTTTCACGTTTATTTTAAAAGTCATGTATATGTTTATATAGGTATGCTTGTATATAACTGTACATGCAAATATATATAACACTTATGTTGACATGTGTGCGTAATAACCATGCACACACACATATATACACATACGTGGTGCATATGGGCAAATATACATATTTGGGCAAGTTGCCTAACTTTTCTGTGCCTCAGCTTCTTCATCTGTAAAATGGAGATTTTGTATATATTATATATTACATATGTTTGCATAGATCTAGAGAAAGGTCTACAAGTATATATATGTATGTATATACTTTATATATATATATCAAACTTTGAAGAGAGATTAGGAGTGAAGAAAGGGACACTTATTTTTACTGTCACACTTCTGTACTGTCTTGTTTTCAAGGGGTATGAGCAAATTTTGTAATTAAAACAAGGAACATTTTTAAAAGGGGACAAATGTATGGCTCTTGTCTACCCCTCCCCCTCCCCCCAAGCAGGAGTCTCTCCTCTGGACCCAGCACCCAGCTGGGGCTGGGGACAAAAACACTCCACTGAGGCAGTCCATGCAGTAGGAGCCAAGGGCCCCTGGGTGAGGGTCTGAAAACCTCAAGTCCGCTCCTGGGTCCCTGTCCGACGTGCTGTGGGCCCTTGGGAAGGTCACTACCTCTCTGGGCCCTGCCAGCCGTGTTCCCTAAGCTGTTTGGCTGACACAATCCCTGCCCCCTGGTTCACAGTTGAGGGGACAATTCCTGAATGAGAAACTGAGTGTCTCGGGTCAGAACACAGGGGCCCTCCCCTAGACCCCTCACTTGACAGGGATGTCCATGGAGACAACCCTGTAGGTTGCATTTCCCAAGAACCAAAGAGGAGCCTCGCAGGGAAGAATCTTTCCCCTCCGCCTCCCCTGCCCTTCCCTGAGACCCTACTGCAGAGTAGGGGCCAGGGGAGGTGCAGGGCCCAGGGGTCACATCTGGAGTCCTGTGACCCTGCTGTGACCACGGGGACCTGTCCTCTCTTTTCTGCAGGATCGTGTGCGAGATGGGGGAGGCCAAGCCCAGCCAGCACGCAGGCTTTGTGGAGATCTGTGTGGCCGTGTGTCGGCCCGAGTTCATGGCCCGGTCCTCACAACTCTATTACTTCATGGTGAGTCCCGGCCACTAGCAACCTGCCCAGGCACGGGCCACAGACCGCATGACCATGGTTATGGGCCGGGCTAGACCTCTGTGGGCAGACCCCGAGCAGCTCGTGGGAGTCTGTCCTGCAGCGTGAGAACGCAGCCCTGGAAATCTGAAAGACCAGATTCAAATCCAAGCCATGCTGTGTCCGGCCCTGATCCAGGGAAGCCACCCTGGCTGTCGGGCCCTGCATCCCCCTCGGGCTGAGTGGCCTTGTGTCTGGGCCAGGAGGGGAGCCCTGACTCTGCCACTTACTCACAGGGCGAACTTGGGGACATTGCTTAGCGTCCCAGTGTCTTCATTTCTAAAACGGGGGTGATAAGACCTGCATCTACCCCACAGTATTGTTGTGATAATTACATGAAGTTGACGCATCAGTTCCCTCATCTGCATGGTTTCTGTGCCCGCAGGACTGCTGTGCCCTGAGATTTCCGGGTACACTGGCACGCCATCAATCCTACCCCATCATCCGCTTTCAGCCCACCTTCTCCACTCCCCATCACCCCATCCCATGACCTCCTTAACCCCACCCCCATCCCGCACCTCCCCTGCACCCCCACTCCACCTCCTCTAAGCCACACCATTACCCTTCATTGCACACCCCTCCCTTCCCTTCCTGTGGCCTGTCTGCACACCTCACCCCTACCGCCACATTCCCTCCAGCTGGGACCCTCGCTGGCCCTACCGAGGCAGCCCCTGGTGAGGGGCTCTGGGGGGCAGGGGCTCTGGGGACCTCTCAATCCCATGCGGGAGGCATGCATGTCTCTGCTGTCCCTCACGCTGCCTCATTTTCCAAACTGTCTTACCATCCAGGTCACTTCTGGGGCTAATGCCGGCTGTGATAAGATAGTTTCCCCATGGTTCCGCGCTGCTTTGGGAAGCTGGGAGCCTGAAGTGAGGGACTTTATGCCTGGGTGTCAAATGCTCCAGGACACATCGCAGGGAGCCCACTTTTCACCCTCCCTTCCCCCACCGTCCGCCCCTCCTCCCCTCTCCTCCTTCAGCCTTCCTCCTGCTCCTCCTTTCTCCCTTCAGCTGACAACCATGTGTCACCTTGCACGACCCCTCCCCCTAGATTGTTTGGTAAATATTTGCTTCATTGGTTGAATCTTACAATTCGGTGGCCCTGGCTTGTGGGTATTCAGGGATGACTCAGACCCTGCACAGCCCCTCCCTCAGCGGGCCCGCGGTCTAGAAGCAGAGGTAGAGTGGAGGATGGATGTACACTCAGACGCCACTGTGGTGGGGGCCAACCCTGCCAGAACGTGCATCAGAGGTCTCTTCCCGCTGAGGCCCTGCTCTCTCAGCTCCCTGCCCTCCTCCTGAAAACCCCCCCTCCTTCTGCATACAGTTGGTCAGGCTGCACACACAGGAACTCACGTAGAAGAACACACATATGTGATGGATTTAATGGATGTGTAGGTTTCCCCATCTCTTTAGGATTTGTATGCCCACCTTCTTCTCAAAGGCTCCGCGGAAGTTTTCCAGTGGAACCCAACACACCTGCACACAATTAGCGACACATGAATACTTGTGTATATATAGAGAGGGTATGTATACTGAATATGATATAGATGGATCTCTACATAAATTGTCGATCCAGTGGAGTTGAGATACTGAGGGGGAGGGAGACAGACAGAGAGGCAGAGACAGCACTCCCCAAGTGTTTAGAGGTGTGGCGTGGCTTGCCAAACTTGGGCATGAAATCCAGCTCTGAAGTTACCTGGCCACCGTGGGAACAGGGAGGATGCCCCTGTGTGGGCAAAGCAAGCACTGGGCTTCCTCAGCCAGTCAACTGCCCCGAGCAGTTTGCATCCTGGTGTCACTTGGTAGTGACAGAATGGACGGTACGAGGGTTGGCTGAAGCTTCCTTGGGGTGTTAGCCATCTCTGCCACGTCTCACCTCTGTGACTCACTCCAAGGCCACTAGACCTCTGGCTGTCTGGCTGTCACCTCCATGACCCACCCCGGCTGCCGGCTCCGACAAATAGTGTGTCCCCCTCACTTGCCCATTTCTGTCAGGGGCTTGTCACCCGGCCACAATTCTGGTGGGCTGTGGCTCAGCTTCCCTAAATTCCAGATTTCAGCCACCCCATCACCACGTCCTGGAGTCTTCCTTCTCCCATTCTCCTCGCTGCTGCAGTGACCTCCTTAAATCCCTGACGTTAAAGGTCTGAACCCATTCTAATCGACCCTGCCCTGCAGAATACTGTTTTCATCATGTTAGGCCCACCTCAAGAAGGACCAGGGCGCCGTCCAGCCAAGTCTGTTTCCCAGGGCTTTGCATGGCCTGACCCCTCTCCCTTCTCCATCTCCTTCCCCACTTTGCCCCAAGCTGCGTCCTCCTCGTTAGTCCACGCCCCGCTCGTGAGCCCCTCCACGCCTTCTCTGAATACACAGCCCACGGCGCCCACGGTTCTGTGGCTCACTGGGGATTCCATGGCGTCTGCCCGCCCACACTAAACTGGGCGTATGTCTTGGAGCCCCTGCTCCTCTGTTCAGACCAGTAGGTCTTTGGAGATGAAGCCCTGGCCGTTTACTTCTTTGCTAGCCCCCACTGCTCAGGCAGTTCTAAACCTCCCTGCGTGTTGGAATCTCCTGAGGGGCTTTAAACAAAAGGCTCCGGGGGCCCCCCCGGAGCTAAGTCACATGCTACAGGGGGCACAAAGCTCCCCAGGAGATTCTAACTCAGCCCAGGCTGAGGACCACTGGCCTAGGAGAAACAGAACTTAGAGAACAGATACCATGTGCCTGTCCATATGTGGCTTCAGGCTTAATTCTTACAACGAGCCTATGTCGTATTCAAAAGCCGCTTCTGCTCTCAGGTCAGGCCAGTCTGGCCTGCATTGTTTCTGCTCTGGAGCAGGATGTGGTTAGAGGCAGGGTATCGAGGCGAGGCTTCGAGGAAGAAGCTGGGTGGAGAGGCAGGATCTGTACGAGGCAGAGTGTGATGTTCCGTATGAATCTGGAGCAGTGGGAAGCTGACCCTGGCGTGAGGTTTGGAAATGCACCAAAAGATGGGAACAGAAGGGAGGGAGAGGGAAGGGGGGTTCGTGGGAAGAGAAGAGGTGGGAGCACAAAGGTAGGTCGGGAAAAGATGAGAGTTGTTGCCACAAGGCAAAACGGCATTGGTCCAGTAGGGCCATGGGACTCAAAGATTTGTGTGGCTTTTTTTTTTTTTTTTTTTTTTTTTGAGGGCTACCTCTGAGGAACGGTACTGGGGAAGACTTTCGGAGAGGAGACCTCAGTCTCGTCCCCAGTCCCCAGTGTGCATTTAAGGGCCCAGTCACTGAGGCTGCCCCCACAGAGCTCCTAGGGGGCCAGGGTGGGAGGGTCACCCTGCCGGTAAGAAAAGACAGAAGGACCCTCTCTCATGCTCCCCAGCATCTTGGAGCCTTCATTGCCTACCCGTCCCGCTAGGCAGTTTGCAAGGGGCACAGAGAAGCCCCTGACTCTGCTGGAGTCCTGAGACAGCTAGAGAACCCCTTCCCAGGGCTCCTCTGGGGACTCGGGGCACATTGGAGAGCCCCTTTTCAGGGATGCCTCTCAGGATCTGGGGCATGCTGGGGAGCCCCTTCCCAGTGCTGAGGTTGGGAGTAAGATCTGGGTCTAATAACTCAGTTTCCCGCCACAAATCAGGCCAGATTCTGATGTGTGGGTTTTTTCACCCAAAACCCAACCGCCAAGGCCAGGGGATCAGCATTCTTGGTCTTGTTCCCAGTTCTGTCCCTAGAGATCTCCATGGAGGGAACCTTTCCCTTCCCTACCTCCATCTGGGAGCCAAGTGAAGAGGTGGCAAATAATACGGAATTTGATTTCCCGCGCAAACCCACCGTGAAATATTTATGAAGCATGACTTGAATAATTAATCGTTTCTCACAACTTTAAAACATGTCTCCATATCATCCTCTCCTCACCCTAGAATAATTCCCCTGCCCAGCCCACCACTGCAGAGCCAACAGGGATTACTCAGTTCCATCCCTTCTAGAACCCCACCCACAGGCTGCCAGAGAACCTCTTCTTTCCATGTTGCTCCCACCGCCATCTATGGGAACTTGGGTGGGTTTTGACTCTATCTCTAGGACTACCCTTGCCTTGCACAGACTGCACTCTCTTTCCCTTCCAGACAGTGGGACAGAGGCACCATTTGTGGGAGGTGACCCCGAGTTACAGAACCAGAAAACCAGCAGGCGCCTTTGAGATAACTCGTTTTGACCCAGCTCTCCGATTTTACGATCAGAGAGGTTACAAGGCTTGTTCTGGGTCACACAGCAAGATCTAGGCAGAGCTGAAAAACCAAGCCTCTTCCCACAGCCTCACCCCACCCTCGTCCGGGTCTCCGTTTGGGCCAGGAGCAGCTCTGGAATGAAGCATTCCTTTGCTTTATGGGTGCCAAGGGGGAGGCCAGGCTCAGGATCTGCAAGGACCTGGTGGGCGGCAGGGCGGGTGGGCCCCTGCAAGCCGCGGTCAGAGGGTCACAGGGGCTCCTCCTGTTCTCCCAAGGTGTTAGGGATTGAGGCCTCTCCGTGGGGAGGCGGCCTGCCGGCTGGGAGCCAAATAAGTTCAACTTTTGGTGCGGAATTCTTTAAGGGGCAGGGGAGAGAGAAATCTTCATTTAAATGCAGATACAGGCTTCTCACTTGGGACTGAGGAAAGTTTTTTCCATTAAAATGCTAATGAAAGAACAAATCGCAACTCCAAATCCTCAGCTCACAGGTGCCCCCTCCCCCCCATCCTCACTCAATCCACTGACCGTTCTTCGCTTCTCCTCCTGCGTTTTCCTGGGGCCTTCAGGACCCATCGTTCTGGCCTCTGGGTGTTTGGGCAGCTCTCTGGAAGAGGCCTGTGGAAGGAGCAGATCACCTTCCCAAAAGCAATTGGAGAGGTGGTAGAGAGTCAGGGCTCTGGAGTCAGATCTCAGACGTGCCACTTTTTAGCTGTGTGACCTTGGGAACTTTACTTCATGTCTCTGAATCTGTTCTGTAAAATGGGTAATAATACCCACCTTGTAGAATTGACTGGGCACATACCTTATATAGAGATGGATGAGGAGAAGGCCTGCCAGTTAAAACACCAGCATACAGCAGCTGTTATTATTACTGTTGTTAATAGAGAGGTGTAAACTCTCAGGGTCCAGAACGCTGCTTATCCACACAAGCCCAATAGGACTTAGTGGGCACGTTGGGAGGCCACCGTTACTGAGTGGCTCTGGGAGTGGGGAGCTGCCTCTTCAGACCCCGGTTGTGTCTCAGGCCAGATCCTTTCCTGAACAGACGCTGACTCTCTCGGACCTGAAGCCCAGGCGGGGGCCCATGTCCGGGGGCACCCAAGTGACCATCACGGGCACCAACCTGAACGCAGGCAGCAACGTGGTGGTGATGTTTGGGAAGCAGCCCTGCCTCTTCCACAGGTAACTCACCTCCAGGCTGGCCTCAGGGGCTCACAGCCCAGAGGGTGGGGCCCATCGGGCTGCCCCAGGGCTACAGACTTCCAGGGCTCACCTCTTGGAAGTGCTTTCTCCTCCCTGAGAAAGTGGCCATTCTCTTTGAGGGGGGATGGTATGGGCATACCTGACTGTGGATGTTTTTGGCTCAGTCTGGAGACCTGCCAGGCAGCCCTTCCCTAGTTGGGCCATTCATTGTTATTGCCCACCATTTAGCCTCTGTGCCCCTATACCAACCACTGTACGGAACCCTAGGGTTTCCCAGGACACACTGGGGAATCTAGAGCCCCTGCCCCCTGCTGCAGAGCCAGCTGGGACTACTGAGCCTCCTACCCAGCTGGCTGAGGTTGAACCTCCCAGGGGCAGCCGACTTTCTCTCCCCTGGCTCCACCATCCGGGCTCAACAGGGCACACCTTCCATAAACCAGAAGCCTGGAGGGTAGAAGGCAGGCAGGAGGGTCATCTGATGCAGGACTGGGAGACGTGGTGGGGATGTGACATTCTGCCGGGGAGCTTTTCCCGGGACAGAGCTATGCTGAGGCCTGTGGCAGATCAGAAGTCAGGCCAGGGGTAAAGAAAAAATTGTTCTGACGCTTGCTAAAATAGCGAAGAAGAGTTTACTCAGGACTATTGCAGTAGGTGTCAAGACTATCACAATGGGGAAAGAAAGAAATCAGTCTTGCCTCCAAATACAGCAAAGACAGCTGGGGATTTACAGCCAACCAGCAGAGTGAGGGTGTCGCTGGTGTGAAATTACTAAGAAGCAACAGCAAGAATAGGAAAATTCTTGCTAAACCAACTTAACAGGATTCTTGCTGCAGGCGGCCAGGGTGATCAGGTATCAAGGGGAGGGGGTACTCTGGGTGACCTCACTTTGCAGAATTCTTGCTAAAAATGGGGCTTGGCAGGCCCAAGACAGGGCCCAAGGATGAGGCCTCTTTGAAAAGAGGTCTCAGAGGAACCTGTCTACGGATGTGGTGCAAGAGAGAGTCTTTGTCAGTAGTGCCTGGAGCTTTCCACCTGAGGCAGTGCTCACCATGGCCTCTGAGGAGCCTGGGAACAGGGAGGGGTGGAGGGCCCTGGTCCCCGCCCGGACCCCTGTCCCCTTCAACACCCGGGAGCCTAGCTGCATGTCTGCCCTCCCTGCAGACGCTCTCCGTCCTACATCGTCTGCAACACCACATCCTCAGATGAGGTGCTGGAAATGAAGGTGATGGTGCAAGTGGACAAGGCCAGTATCCACCAGGACCTGTTCTTCCAGTACATGGAGGACCCCACCATCGTGCGCATCGAGCCAGAGTGGAGCATAGTCAGGTAGGCATGGCCCTGGTTGTCCTTCCTTAACTCTCCAAGAGCCAAGGACAGTCTTGGGGCCCAGTTCTTCTTTGAGGACTGATGAATTGGGGTTGGTTCAGAGCACCCCCCAAATCAAACCTTCCTGCCAGGCTGCCCTCCTTCCACTGAGAGTACCTCTGAGTGGGCCCCGGCCCCAGAACCCAAGTTCCAATCAGCAAGAGCCCACAGCCCCTCATCTGAGGATTTGGTGCTTGCCCCTGGAGGCTGTGATCCCGTCCCAGGGACTGCTGGGGTTGCCAGTCCTGTTCCCAAATATGGGCGGTAATTCCATTCCTGCCGAGGGATGGAGGAGAAAGAGTAAGATCAGATCCAACTTCTCCTTGGCCTGCTCTTGAGCAAAAGTGTGTCCTGACCACCAGGGTCCAGTGCAGATGTTCATCCTCTGGGCTTCTGTAACCTCCTGCCGTGCCTCCGTCATGCTCTGTTATGACCCTGAGTTGTCTGCTTGCTTTGTCCTTCCCTCTACTGCAAACTCCTCCGGCACAGGGACTGAGTCTTGTTCTTTCTGCCGCCTGCCAGCGCAAGTATAGAGAGCGCGTGTCCTGGGAGGGAGCTGGGTGAGTGCTCTTGTGGAAAGACCCTCCAGGGCCACCTCTCGCTCAGCCAGTCACAAGCCGACTTGCACCAGCTGCATACCTTTCTGGCCTCCCCTCTTGAGAGAGTCACGGGGGGGGGGCTTTGGAAATTCCAGGATCCCTGGGGACCCTCCCAGTCCCCCACTTGGTGGTGCTCTGGAGTGTGACATCTCACTTCAGGGAGGGAATTGCAGGCAGGCATGCTGTTCTGGTCCCTGGAGGATACATCGTAATGGGAAGGTGCAGCAGAGAGCATCCCGACAGCGAGGCCCCTGCTGACCATTGGGAAACTGCTGTATCAGGGGCCGAGGGGGATGCAACAGGGCTTGAGGTCAGAAAGAGCGGGCTCAGCCCAGCTGAATGACCTTAAAGGTGACTTAACTTCTCTGGGCCTATGGTTTCTCATCTGTCAACTCCCTCCCGGGATGCTGGGAGGGCTAAGCCAGATGCATAGGCACAGTGCAGCGCCCGGCTCAGCTCTTTCCCACTGCCCCTGGCCCAGTCTTCAGCCCTTCCCACTGTTGGCTTCAGTTCTAGAGGGCATCTGGCATTGGGGGGAGAGGGAGAGCATGAAGATGTGGTCTCCATGGCTGAAGCAGGGGTCAGGGACAAATCCAGTCCAGAGAATAGTCTTTTAAACCAGGGGTCAGCAGACTCCAACCTGGGGGCCAGATCTGGCCATCTGCCTCCTTTTATGAATAAAGTTTTATTGGAACACAGCCATGCTCATTCGTATATGTTTTGTCTATAGCTGTTTTCTCACCACAGCAACAGAGTTGAGTAATTGCAACAGACCATATGGCCTGGGAAGCCTAAAATATTTACTCTCTGGCCCTTTGCGGGGAAGTTTGCCACCCCCGGCCTCACACGCATGAAAGGCAGCCTTCGTGGAGATGAGATTGGCTTGTTCTCACCGGTTACTCCCTAAGACCCACACTTTATAAGCGTTGGCCGTGATTTTTAAAGTAGATAACTGCAAGGCACAGAGAGGGGGAAAGCATCTGTAGAAAGCACTTCTGGGATTTGCCCCCAGGGCCTGGTGAATCCAGGAAGTTGGTGTAGCCCTTGGTGTAGACAAGCTCTGCAGCTCCCTGAGGAGGCCTGGTTTAACTCAGTTCTTCCTCAAGTCACCAGCACAGAAAAAGAGGCATCGTCCTTCCTGGCACTCAGTAGCCGACTGAGTCACGTTCATAACCAGAGCGAGGTTGGAAGAACGTTCTGGGCCTGCCAGCCAGCTCCAGACTTTTTGCTGCAGTGAACAGTTTCTCTGAGGGGCGGGGCCCTGCAGAGCGGGGCTTTGCACTGCTCACAACAGCCTGGGCTGCTCACCAACAGGGATGGGGGGTTGAATTGGTGATTAAGAAGATTGGGAGATGGCCAGATAGCAGAATCTCATTCTGGAACACCGCCATGGGCAGAAGAGCCTGTCTGGGTTTTACAGGAATCTTCCGGCGTGTGCTAATGTGAGTGTGGGGTGGGGTGGGGGGGCAGGTGGAGGGCAGGGAATAACAGGGAGTACAGAGACGGGCAGAGGCATAGAGAGGGAGACATGAATATGGGTGTCATGGATTCTTCATTCACCAAGCTTGTAACTAACTGTTCCAGATAGTAGGATCCTTCTTGAAGATACTCTCTGGATTGTGGAGAAAGTGACTTGTCACTTTCCTTTGAGTAGCCCCCAAGGAAGATAGCCCTTGCCTCAGGTCAGCTTCTCAGAGCCCTGCATACAGCAATTGGCATCGAGGTTTTTTTGGAAAGTTACACAAAGAGGAATCTCCTGCTCCTTCCTCCTCCATACCTGGCTGACACCCAGGATACAGGAGACCTGAGTCCCAGAACACTTGCTGTTTGCATTCCTACATGAGGCTCCTGGGTGCCTGGGCCTCTGCCTTTCCCAGATCTCAGCAGACAGAAGCTTCCAGGGTGAAATTGTAGTGATCGCCCTAGGGGGGAGACTGTGCTCAGACCCTGGAAGGTCTAGTGGGGATCATCCTGGAGCAGGGCTTTCACTGGGCCAAGGCCAGGTGGGAATCTCCCTGTGACTGGTGAGGGCTGGGGGAGAGACACCAGGGAGCTGCAGAGAAGCATCCAACTCAGGTCAGGAGGCTCAGGAGCCTCTACGGGTGTCCACGCTCCAGATGCGCTCAGTGCAGGATGGCCACAGACATCTAGTCATCACTGTCGTGATGAGTGATGGCTGCTAAGAGCTCATCCTTACTCATTCAGTTTGCCATCATTGTCCTCACATCTCCTGGTTACCATGGCCTTTAATGTCGGAGCTCAGCCTGATCATCATCATCATTGTTGTCAAGCCCCATTGCTATTCCTATCCCTGTGTTGACACGCCTCCTGTTTCTCCCTCCCCCCCGACCCCCCGTCAGTGGAAACACACCCATCGCCGTGTGGGGGACTCACCTGGACCTCATACAGAATCCCCAGATCCGTGCCAAGCATGGAGGGAAGGAGCACATCAATGTGAGTCCAGGGAGGGCAGGGGGCATGAGGCTGCCCACTCAACATGTCACTTTCCCAAAGGGCATGGGGCGTCCTGAGTAGGGCAGGCCACCCAGACACAGATGACCCATTGCATGTGACACCCCGGGGCACTGGGATGGTGAGATGAGGAAGGAGACATGAGGGCATTTTCGTACCTTGGGGTACAGGCCTGGAGGAGCAATTGCTTTGGGGGTTTTGGGTTTTCATATGCTTATTCCTCCATCTGTCAGACCCCCAGTGCTGCCCCTTAGCTCAGAGATACCCCCATCATTGCCACACCCACTGTGGCCACTGCGGAGGTGGGTGCTAGCTGCACAGTTTACTCCTTGAGTGGCCAGGTTCTATGGTCCTGGATGCAGAGGGGCGGCGACCCATCCCTAACTATCCCATGTCAACCCCATGCTGTATCCCAGCACGGAGGGAGCCTGCTGGCTATGTGGGGCTGTGTGGGTCCAGACGCTGCATGGTCTTGCCTCTCTGGCCCCCTCCAGCTCTGTGAGGTTCTGAATGCTACTGAGATGACCTGCCAGGCTCCGGCTCTCGCTCTGGGGCCCGACCACCAGTCTGACCTGACCGAGAGGCCTGAGGAGTTTGGCTTCATCCTGGACAACGTCCAGTCCCTGCTAATCCTCAACAAGACCAACTTCACCTATTATCCCAACCCTGTGTTTGAGGCCTTTGGGCCCTCAGGAATCCTGGAGCTCAAGCCTGGCACTCCCATCATCCTGAAGGTAGAGTGAGGTTGTGGGCAGGAGGTGGGAAGCAAGGAGGCTGCTGTGGGGAACGGGGAGGCTTGTCAAGTCACAGAGAAAGGCCCGATTTCATCACTGGAGTCCAGAGCACGGAAAACACTGGCTCTGAGTTTGGATTGAGAGGCAAACTCTTTAGAGGCCATGGAGACCTGATCAGGGCAGCTGGATCCATCCTGGCCGTCTGACTCCCAAGCTTCCTTTGTCCCAAGAGTCCAGGACCTGGGAGGTCCAAGGCTCATCCTGCTTCCTCCCGTGTAGCCCTCTGCAAGCCACAGTAGAGGGTTTCTTTGGAGCACGGGTAGCAAATTACTTGTAACTCCTGTGACAGTTTGGAGTCAACTGGTGGTGATTGACCATAGCTCTGTGTTAAGAAGGATTCTGAGGCTACATTTGGATAAGCTAGAAAGTGCCTTGATTACTGACTCCCCACTGAGGAAAGGGGAATGGCAGTGTAGGCGTCATGGGGTTTTGGGACTTACTATGGAAGGTGGCCTCTCCAGCACTCGCCAGCAGGATGGGACCTCTGGGTTGGGGGGACGTGGCAGCCAGCCGGCAGCTATGGTCCTGACTCTGCGGGGAGAACCAGGGCTTTCCTGTCCCTCCAGGGCAAGAACCTGATCCCCCCCGTAGCCGGGGGCAATGTGAAGCTGAACTACACTGTGCTGGTGGGGGAGAAACCATGCACTGTGACGGTGTCCGACGTGCAGCTGCTCTGCGAGTCCCCCAACCTCATCGGCAGGCACAAAGTGATGGTAAGCCGGCCGGGGCCCCGTTCTGCCTGGGGCAGGCACTAGGGATGCCAGAGTGTGAGCAGACCAGGAGGGGATTCTGGCTGGTGCCCCAATGAGAGCAAGGCAAAGCAGCATGAATGATGTGTGCATTGCCTGTCACAGGCAAGAGACCCTTGCAGGAGGGGACCGTGGTTGGCCCGAGGAGGTCTATCATATCATGCTCTGTGCCTCAGTCATCTGTCCTTAGCCTGGGATGAAGCTCAGGGAGCCACTCACCGAAGTCATGTCAGACTTCTTTAGGTCCCAGCTGTGTGCTGTTTCCTTACAAAGATGACAACCCTAGTCCTGGGTACTGTGCAGCTTCCCGTCTCTGAGCCATCCAGACCCCCCGCCCGGCCCCCCCCCCCCCCCCCTCAGCTGTCCTTACAGCCAGTGACGGCTCTCCTCCCCGGAGCCCTTTCCCCGTCCTGCCCCGTGGCCAGTTCATCGACGGCCCGGGGCAGCTACCCCCACTGCTCTGCGCCTGCTCCCAGCTCCTTCTCGCCTGCTGTGCCCCCAGGCTCGCGTCGGTGGCATGGAGTACTCCCCGGGGATGGTGTACGTCGCCCCAGACAGCCCGCTCAGCCTGCCTGCCATCGTCAGCATCGCCGTGGCCGGCGGCCTCCTGGTCATCTTCATTGTCGCCGTCCTCATCGCCTACAAACGCAAGTCCCGCGAAAGTGACCTCACGCTGAAGCGGCTGCAGATGCAAATGGACAACCTGGAGTCACGCGTGGCGCTCGAGTGCAAAGAAGGTACCTGGTGACCCGGGGCCACGGCCCCACGCCCGAGGCTGTGCGTGCGCATCTCACACAGGCGAACGAGCTGGGCACCTGCGGGCAGTGCTGGGGGCCGGGCGTCTGACCTCTGACTCTGACTCTGGTCTCCGAGCTGCGTCCAGACCCAGCCCATATCCCAGCAGACACAGCCCCTTCCTGGGCAAGGCCGCCCTCCCCTCCCACCCCCGCTCGGCAGGGGTCCTTTCAACCCCCACCCCAAGAGCAGTTTGCAGCCCCAAATCCTGGCCATGGGGGTTTGATGCTCTCCACTCAGGGAGAGCTTGGGGTGTCTTGACATGCGGCGTTCAGCAACCTTGATCTCCCTTCCTTTAGGAGGACAGTACAGCCAGAGCTCAGATTCAAGATTTAGAAGGAAGAGGGTTTCACAGCTTGTGTTTTTAAAAATTACCAACACCACCATGATACGAAATCAGCAGCACTAAATCCAAGAAGGAAATTTAGGAGTCAGACTCTTGTCACCCCCAGATTATCATTTCGTGAGTCACCCTGGGAGGGTCTGAGTGGGTTCTTTACTGTAGATTTATTCTCAGAGTCAATCCAGCCTGTACCTGGGGCCCTCCCATCCCCACCAGGGGAGCCGCGGCTCCGTCTGATGGGGAAGTGGGTCCGTCCCATCCCTTCACTACATCCTTAGCTGTCAACATGGCATCTGCCTTGTGGGACTGTTAATTACTGCCTTTTATTATATTTACGCTGCTTAATTTTTTTTCTCTGCAATGTACTCTTCCCTCTAATTAGGTGTAGTGATTAGAATCTCTTTTATGTGTGGCAGGCACGAGGCTTTGAATGTTGGAGGCGCTTAGTGACTTGAAGGAAGGCTGCAGACTGATAAAAAGCTAACCCCCTCCTTCTCCTCCCCGCCAGCTGAGCACCCCAACCGGGAGGGGGCAGAGAGGGGAATGCCAAGCCAGGTTCCTCTCAGAACATTCTGGAGAAGGAGAGATGAGCAGCCAGACAAGGAGTCCAGCCGTAGAGTGTCCGTGGAGGCACCAGGAGAGGGCCTTGGCTTCTGGCTCGGGGGAGAGCTCTCTCTCTCTCTCTGCTCTGTGGGCACAGAGAGAGACGTAAAGCAGAACACACGGAGATTAGCCACGAAGGCATTTGTCGGGGGAGCCCAGAGCTGGCCCTCGAACATATAAGGGGCAGCTTGGGTCCAAGGAAGGTGACCCCCTCCCGAGACTTGGCAGTAAGCCAGGACATCACCCACACACAAACCCAGAAGAGGCCCAGCCTAGGCCCTTCACTGCCTAAACACACACATGTGCATCACTGTCCCACACACTCACCGACATACACACACACTCGGACGGTCACTCATGTGCTCACACACACACCCACGAATGCCCACACGCACGTGACACACATTCCCACAAACACACACATGCTCCTCACTCAGTACATACAGGACTGCTGTTCATCAGTGCTTTTGGTGACCGTCCAGGCCAAAAACCTTACCGACTCCTTTCATACACACAAAGGCGCGCACACTGGTATAAGTTCCACTTGGAAGCATGAGTCACTTGCCTTGAGAGGGACTCTGTGCGTCCAGGTGACCAGGGGTGCAGGAACAGGGGAGGCCTGCAGGAGCCTGTCCGGGGGGCCAGGTGGTGTCTCGTTCTATCAAAGAAGCAGCACTGCTATTCTCAAGAAGGCCCAGAAACCCGAGATCCGGAGGCCCAAGTTGGCACTGTGGGGTGCAGCGGGGGCCCCATCCACAGTGCCTGGGCCCACCATGTTGTGTTCGTGTGATCAACAGAGCCCACAAAATACTTTTTCCCAATTCTGGTGTTTATAGAAATATTAAGAAGGATTGCATAATCAGTGCCCGCTGGCTATTCTTTGCCAGCATGGGCTAATCCATCCTGGTTGGGTGCGAGCATGTGTGTGCAGCAGGCATGCATGCGTGTCAGTACGTGTGTGTATGCGCCCAGGGGAGAGGCGGAGCAGGAAAGGGCCTGGCGCGGCATTTCTGACTGCCTCAGACCCAGGGTGGAGGGCAGCCTGGGAGGAGGGCTGTGCTCAGGACTGAGTGTAATCACAGCTTTGGTGCCGTGTAAACCACCTGGGCCATGTGCTGGACTTTCTTGGGGGCCAGAGGGAAGGGGGTCTTGCAGCTCCATGATCATCAGGAAGCCTGAGCTGCCTCCACAGACAGCCATTCCCACATGCAGATCATAAATCACCATTGAGTGGCATCACCTTGAGGAAGGAAGGATAAAGATACGCCCCACATATGTATCCGGAAGGAATATATTAGTGTGGCGGAGCCTTCATCTGGCCCCATTGGTGGTTTGGTGGTTCCACCTGCCTGGCCCAGAACTGGGACTGCAAAAGAAATTATTCTTACCTTTTCAAAGGAAGACCACTATAAAAATGCAGAATGGGGAATAGACCCCCCACCCCTGGAACCTCTCCCCTCCCTCCCCCGTCTCTTGATAGGGGTGTCCCCCCACCCCCAGCATATTCTGCAAACCAAAACCCTTCATCTTCAGACGGGGAGGCACTTCAGATCCAGCAGTAGGACAAATGGGTGGACAGCCCACCCCCATCCATGCTTTGGAAGGGATCTGGCCCAAGACTCGCTTCCTTGTGCTACATCTTTCTCCCCTTCCTATGTCCTTCACCCCAGCGACTTAAGACATCCTGCATTATTCCTGCACACCTGCGGTCCATTGCCCACGTCTCCCAGGGGCCTGGGTGAGGGTTCCAAGCATTCAGACTCGGGGTCCACCCCAACCAGCATTCTCACGGGCTCCCTTTGTACCAGCTTTTGCCGAGCTGCAGACGGACATCCACGAGCTGACCAGTGACCTGGATGGAGCTGGGATCCCCTTCCTGGACTACAGAACCTACACCATGCGAGTGCTGTTCCCTGGAATTGAAGACCACCCAGTGCTCCGGGACCTCGAGGTGAGAAGCAGTACCCACGACCAAGCTTTGCTCCATCGAGGTGTTAGTGTGGAGAAAGGTATCGGTGACCTTCAAGGGCAGCCACCTTGTTGGGAGGTAAGAAAGCTGAGGCCAGGGAGGGGACATGATTGACCCGAGGCTCCCCCCACTTGTTGGTGCCAGCCAGCCAGTCCCTCTGCAGGAAATGGGGCCAAGCCAGGGGGGCTCTGAGCAGAGATGGGAGTAGATTTGGGTCCTAGGGGTCATGGATCCCTTGAGAACTGAATGGAAGTTGAAGAAAAAAAAACTTTACCTACACGCAAAAACCAGACAGTGTCGCAAGTTCATGGCCCCCATTTAGGAAACCACGATATAAGGGATTTCACCGGATAGTTGGTGCCAATAAGTATATGTGGGAAAGATAAGGGATGCGCTGGCGAGGGAGGTGGGAGCGTGCATGATAAGAACATCACTGTCTTTTGTACCAGCAGGACCTCATCTTTTGAACATTTTGTCCCACTTCCTGTCTAGCGTGGTACCTGGCTTATGCATATATTCATAGTACGCTTTGTTCCAAAAGGGATTTGGGATGATTCATAAAGATAACTACCAGAGAAAAGTGAAAAATACAAATGAGGAAACCAGGGCAAAATAATAATCATAAGGAATAATTGCCATTAGTTGATGGCTCACTAATCTCCAGGTCTGGTTTTAAGGACTCCAGGTGTATGTGTTGATTTAATAGCTCACAAGCGGGCTGAAGACGGTGCGCTCATTTTAGAGGCAACAAAGCTAAGGGCACTGGGGCCACCTGCTGGGATGGTGCAGGGCCGGGGTTGGAGTCCCTCAGTTAGACTTCAGGGTCTGTGCTCCCCACGACAAGACTTTGCACGTCGCTGTTGTGCCTTACGGCTCTGGACACTTATTAGGATGGATCAAAAATCTCCAGCCAAAGCAACAACAGAGAATAAGACTAATTCCAAGATGTATAACATCCATAACATTGCAACAGACCCACCGCTCAGCGGTCGCACAATTTTGCAGGTACTGACCCCTGTGGGAACGTCTGCGTGGGCAGTCCAAGGGGGTGTGGAGGCTGTGCCCCTCTACAGGCAGCAGAGCAAGGCCCCAGGGACTTCAGGGCCCACATGCGTTTCTCCATAATTGTTGAATACGGTGTGTGCCCGTGTGTGTATGTATGTGCACACATGCGTGCTTCCATAACAAGGTCACGGGCACTTCTGTCTGGAGGAGGGTCCCCTGGGCTTCTCAGTGGATAGATACCCAGAGGCACTTCCAGAGGCCGTAGCTGGTGGGCTCTGTGTCCTCACTGAGAACACACCTTTCCCTCTGTCTGCACATCTGCTTGTGTGTGTTCACGTCTAAGGCGTACGTGTGTGTCCTATATACAGAGGAAAACACCGTCTGTATCGTGATAGTCTGTCCATTCTCTTGGTCTCACTCTTCTTGCCCGTGCCCTCTCTCATCCTCATTTGTTTTTCTCTTCCATTTGTCTTTTTTCCAGCCTCATTTTCACTTGCTTCAAAATCCCAGGGTGTTTAGTCCACTGAAGACTATGCATTTTCCACATGCACTTGCATCTCCAGAGATTCTCAGACTCTCAGGCCAGTCTTGGCACTAGTTTAACACACACCCAAGGACAGTACACTCCCAAGGACTGGCCAGGGCAGTGGCAGCAGAGTTATAGGGCTCATTCTTCCATAGGATCTCATGGGTGGTTGTGCAGGTTGAACACTGCAGTGCTCCGGATGGCATCATTCATATGTGACACCTCTTAGAGTTGTTCAGTGCACAACCTGCCTCACCGTCTACAGCAGCCCTGTTCCCCGAGGACCAGAATACAAATGATTCCTTCTCATTGCCCTTCTGAACTGTACCAAGCCCCTTGCTGAAAGCTGGTGGAGTCTCTACCAAGCTGTACTTCTCCAGGCTTCCCTCTAAGGTCAGTTTCCTGTGAGAAGCAAGACGGGACTGCTTCCCAACTCCTAGCCTTATTCTTCAGTGAGGCACACAGCCAGGAACCCAGCTCAGCAAGCCAGACTCAACAAGCAGAAACCCCCAGCACCCTCACCCCTGCCCTCAGAGCCTTGCGTGGAGCCAGCTCCCTGCTCCGCTGTGTGGCTCTGGTCCTGTCTGCCTAGCTCCCCGACACGAAGCACCCCCAAACAGAGGCTTCTGGGGCAGCAGACTCCACTCTCTGCCAGAAAACTTCAAGAGCTCTGGTTCAGCACTGTCTTAGAGACTAATTTCTCAGCTTCACGGTGACACCAGCTACCCCACGGGCTGAACACACAGGAGGGCACCCCCAGAGCCGCACCACCAGGAGTCACTGACTCCCCTCGTCCATCTGTCTGTCGCAGGTGTCAGATGAACTCAGCCCCGGGAGGGCCGCAGAAGAAGGCCTCTGAGAATCAGGGCTGCTGGGTTGTAATCACGTGAGCAGCCTGGATGATGGACTTGCGAGTTGTTCAGTGCACAGCCACGGACTGTGGGTAGATACCCTGCCCCTGCCCCAGACTGTTCCTTTGGCCCCCATTACATATTACATCACGTCCTACCATGACCTTATTCCTCATCTGGCATGTTAACGTTTCCCCTCACACCCGAGTCTTCTCTCTTCTTCCTTGCCTTCATCACGAGGGGAGACTTTTAGTTCCCCACTTATGACGGAGTCAGAAGCCACCTTCACACACTTCCCTGAGTTGGAGCCCACAGGATGGCCAGTTGTCAGGCACAGGCTCTGAGTCAAACAGGTCACACAGCTTTTCTTGTTTCGAATTGTGGTAAAATACGCATCACAGAAAATGGACGATTTCAACGATTTTTTACAGGTACAGCTCAGAGACAGTAAGTACATTCACACTGTGGTGTGACCATCACCTCCATCCATCTCCAGAAGGTTTTCGTCTTCCCCCAGTGAAAGCCTGTCCCCATTACACACTAAACCCCATCCCCTCCTCCAGAAAGCACCATTCGACTTTCTGTCTCTATGAATTTGACAACTCGGGGACCCTCATGTCAGTGGAATCATATAGTATTTATCCGTTTGTGACTGATTTACTTCACTTAGCAAAGTGTTTTCGAGGTTCACCCATATTGTAGCATGTGACAGAATTTCTTTTCTTTTTAAGCCTGAGTGATAGTCTGTTGTATGGATGCACCACATTTTGTTTATCTATTCATCTGTCAGCAGACACTGGGCTGCTCTGGGCTATTGTGGATGCGGCTGCTAAGAACATGGGTGTACGTGTATCTGTTTGAGCTCCTGCTCCCAGTCTTGTGGGTATATACCCAGAACATACGACTTTTCCTTTCCATGAAACTCGCTAATTAATTGATAGAAATCCACTTTTACTATCGCACATTAGCCCACGGCTACGTGAGATCCAGCATCCCATGCAAGATCCAGGGATCTTGCCTGCACTGTTCTTTTCTGATTTGTTTCCAACCCCGTCTTACCATTGGAATAGTTTCTCCCCATTGGCTTTCTGAGTATGGAAATATTCCCAGGAAAGGCACTGACTAATCTAAAGCAAGGTTTCCCGACATTTTCAGCCATGGGGCTAGCTGCCCGCTGGTTGGTTATGAACAGTAGACGTGTGAGAAGAAGGAGGTGTTCTCTGGCTTTAGTCTGCCCTGGACATAGGCCACCAGTCCCCCCTCTTTTGTGACCATCTGGTGAAGGTCGGGCATGTGGGAAAGGGGCTATCTAGGCACACACCGATCCTTTATTTTATTTTTTAAAGATTTTATTTATTTACTTGAGAGAGAGTGTGAGCGAGAGAGAGAGCACAAGCCAGGGGCCCTGATCCTTTAAAAACAGGGAGCAAACAGTAACCACACACCCCATTCTCAACCTATCCGTGTCTTCTAAACTCTAACCTGTTGGGTTACGATTAAAATTTACTATCCAGTTTTATACTCACAGTCTTCAACTAAATTATTGAACCAACTGGTGAATAAAGACAGTCTTGTTTCACAGTGGCATTTGCTTAGGGAGGCGGGGGGTAGCCAGTTACAAAGGGGCATTGTTCCGGATACTCTTCACCAAGATACTCCACTTCCATCTCCCCCTTCATAAAATGGGGAGAAAAGTCCTACCTCCGGCACCCCCAGACCCTGGGCCGGTGCAGTCGAATGTCTTGGAAACTCCCGGGTGCAAGGGGTCTGTGAAAAGCCGCCAGCGGAGTAGAGGCAGGTAATAAAACTGCTGTTAAGGGCGTACCGTGTGTGCCGAGCACTTTACATACATTATCTTATTTAATGCTCGTAAAACATTATGACGGAGGCACTCATACTCTCATTTTACAGACAAGGTAGTCGAGCCCAGATGGGACAGAGCTTTCCTCCTTGTAGGAGGCAGTTAGTCTCTCTGATTCCGAGCCCTGGGCTGCTGGCCCGCATGCCGTGGCCCCATAGCTGGCTTTGCGGCACCTGCCTTCCCGGGGCCCCGGGCCTTGGTGCCCAGAAGGCGCATGCAGCCAAGCCGGTGCCAAAGAAGTGGGGATATCTATCATCATTAGGACAAGTTGTGGAGATGTTGCTCTGGGGGGATTGAAGGACAGAGGAGGTAAACCGTGCACATGTGTGTCAGGGGTGGTCCCAGAGCTGGGAGGGAGGTCAGCGGGACACACAGACGGCTGGGTAGACTGAGGCCGGGCTGACAGCAAGGTGAGGCTGCCTCCTACCCTTGTCCTTCCCTTGCCAGCCCCTATGGAGTGGGGAATGGGGTCGTGGTAGGTAGGATGAAGCTGAGATTGGGCCCACCACGGGGAAGGAGGAGTTTGCCAGGGGTGGCCGTGCAGAGAGCCAGGACATGCTGCAACCAGGCCCTGGCTCCAGCGGGTTCCCATCTTTCTCCGGGGTGCTGCCTTCCAACAGGGCCCTCCGGAGGGGCCTGCTGCTGACCCTCTGAGGGCAGGCCCGGGTCTGACTGGTCTGTCTCCCACCTGGGCCTTGCCCTGAGCCTGGAACACAGGGGAGCTCAGTGAGTGAGTAGCACGAACATTCCAGCTCTGCATCTGCCCCCTCCTTGCACCTGGGGCAAACAGGGATTCTCTGCCCACCCATCTTCCCCAGTTTCAAGCTTCTGGAGTCAAGTGGGATGAAACTGCTGCCATTCAGTAAACATCACTGTGTGTCCGGCTTTTGACACACCGTCTCCTTCAGAGCTCACACCAGCCCCGAGATGGCAGGACGTGGCACCGACCAGCCGGGTGCACCATCTGGCCCTGACATGTCTCTGTCCTGGGATCTTGAGAAAGCCCCCCACTGTCATGAGGCCCTGGGATAATAATGGGACCTACTTCACAGGGGGTCGTGTGGCATAAACGGGTCCATAGTTCTAACGCATGTAGAACAGCGCTCAACAGAGCAAGATCTACATACGCACCAGCTGTTGAAGGAATGGAGGAGTCTTCTCAGGGCCCACAACCCAGTATATGACTGTGACAGTTAACCCAAGCTCTGCTGGCTGAAACTGCATTCTGCACTGCCGCATACCTGCTGCTCCTTCCTAAAGACCCCCGCAGGGGAGACACAGCCCCCGACATGGCACCTCCTTTGGAGGTCTCTGACCCCGAGCACCGCACTCCATGGAGGGTGCCCTGCTCTCTTCTCAGATGGCTTCACCTTGTTGCCAGAGGCTATGTTTATTTGTTAAGTAACCTTTTTGTTTTAATGGAAGAATACAAACAGAGCAAGCAATGCACACATTGGCAGAACGCAGCTCAGAGCATTTTCCCTGAGTGAACACAGCCATCCAGCCAGCACACAGATCAGGAAGCTGAATGCTACCAGCCCTCCACAAAAGTTCCCAAGTGTCCCCTTCCAGTCCCAGCCACCCCCCGGGATCACCATTTTCCTGCCATCGTTGATGGTTTTTTAAAACCTTTATTTAAAGGGTATTACACGAATTGCCCTCTTCTTTCTGACTTTTTTCATTCAATGTCTGCAAGATGCATCCCTGCTACTGTGAGTGGCAGAAAGCCCTCATTCCCATGGCTGTGTGGCTTCCTGCTGAGTGAATATGCCGCAGTTCCTGGAGCCATCCGCTGTAGCCGGGCATCTGGCTGTTTCCAGTCCAGGGCCATGACGGGCAGAGCTGCCGTGTCCCCGCGCATCTCAGAGATGCGTCCTCCTTGCCCAGCTCGGTCGCTGGCTAGTGTGTGCTGAGCAGACGGTGCCCCCATGCAGGTGCCTCCCGATGAACAGAAGATGCGGGCAGGAAGATAAAACCTTCTTCCTCCCCTTTCCCTGGGTCTCAGAGGAGGTCCCTGAGAAAACATCAGACACCAGAGTCAATCAGGGAGCACCTGAGAGACTGGTGGGCTTAATCTTCCCCTTTCCTTGGATGAGTCACTTTGGGCCCCCAGAGAAGTTAATGGACTTGCCTGAGGTCACACAGGGTGGGGGTGACAGAGCCTGCGTGGACCCCACGAGTCCTGACTCTGAGGCCACACTGGTCTGTTAATGGGATCCACGTGGCCAGAGAAGATTCAGCATCAGATCAGCTGGAGGCTCAGGTGTGGTGATCCCTCACCCCTGGGGTCACCGGCCCCAGCCCCCAGCCTCCTGGACGCCCCCCAGGGGGCTGCCTGTGATGCTCATCTGCTGTGGTGCGGGGCCCCTCACCAGCTCTGCGTCACCGTAAGGGAAGAGTTCAGGCTCCCATGTGGATGGGGATCCTCGGTGCTGTTCTCTCTGCACCTCCCCTGATTCAGCTCCAAACCAGAGGCAGGGAGCAGCCACGCGGGTTAAGTAAACAGCACGGTGCCCAGCACCCGACGAGGGCTTGGTGCTGTTGGCCAGGTGGGGTGAGTGGTGGCGGGGGCCAGGGCAGCATGCACGGCCCACACCGTGGGGCAGACCCCGGGCCTGGCTGGCAGTCAGGACTCCCCCCCTCACCCCCCGCCCCGGGGGCTCCTCCGCAGGTTCCGGGCTACCGGCAGGAGCGCGTGGAGAAGGGCCTGAAGCTCTTTGCCCAGCTCATCAACAACAAGGTGTTCCTGCTGTCCTTCATCCGCACCCTGGAGTCTCAACGCAGCTTCTCCATGCGCGACCGTGGCAACGTGGCCTCGCTCATCATGACCGTGCTGCAGAGCAAACTGGAGTACGCCACCGACGTGCTGAAGCAGCTGCTGGCCGACCTCATCGACAAGAACCTGGAGAGCAAGAACCACCCCAAGCTGCTGCTCAGGAGGTGAGGGCTGGGCCCAGGGGGCAGGGGGCACAGGTCAGAGAGAGAGCCCACTCGGCCTGGATCTTGTGCCTTCTGGGGAGACGGGGGCAGAGCTCCCGGAAGTTGCTGCCAAGTCCCCCAAGGTGAGGACTGACCTGCCTAGAGGCCAGGGCCCGCTCCATGCCCTCTTGGAAGAACCTGTCCACCACGGCCCATCTGCTTACCCTGCTCTTTCTCTTTGGCCCCCTACATCCATCCACTCTGCCTTCTCCTCTCTCCGTGCTTATGCTCCCCTGATTATGACCCTCCGACTGGAATTCTTCTCTCATGGACTCTTCAGAGGTCATTTTTCCATCCCCTGCCCTTACCTAAACCAGAACATGACTTAGGAGAGATACCCCAGGGCCTCCTGCCTCCGGCCTACCCCAGAGAGAAACTTTAGCTCCAGGCCACTCTCCCTGCTGTCTGGGACCAGCAGCAAAGCATCACCCGGGAGCTTGTAGGTGATGCGGAATCTCCGGTCCCAGGCCACACCAACTGGGGCGGAATCTGCAGGCTCCCAAGAAACCTCGGTGACCCAAAAGGTCTGTTGGAGTGTGAGAAGCCCTGGGCCAGCCTGTGTGTCCTTGCCTGACGCACCTGCTAGAGGCTCCACGCAGGTCCAGGGCGCTCCGCCCCACCCTGTCGGATGCCTCACTGGGGAGACCCCAATGACCACATGTGACCACCGAGCTATAACCTGTGGCTTCAGCTTTATAGGACACAGAGACTCTCTGACTCCATCCATGCTGCCCTTCACATCTGCCTCCTCCTGGAAGGCCATTTCTCATCCAGGCTGTTAGTGCAATGTCTTTAGCCTTCGTGCGGACAAAGCTGGAAAGCTCCCACGTCCAGCCATCACTGCCCGGCATCGTCTGCCTCTGCCTGTCTTCTTCTGCCTTCCGTCCTCGGTGTCTGGGCCCGAGGCGGGGCCTCCTGCTTGGGCCAGTGGCTAGATTTGGCTTTCAGAAGTGTTTACCTCAGGCTTTTCCCTGGTGCACTGGGCATCCGCCCGCACAGCTGTGAAAGGTTGCTACATGCCGGAGCAATCATCCAGCTTTGGAAACAGCAAGGTAGATCATTTTGATTTTTGTTTTACTTCCACCACGCAGCCACCCACCGGCACAATTCTAGGGTTGCCACTGCCTGCCAGAGCTCCCACCGACAATCTCCTGGTGTGGCCTCACTCTGGATCTGTGCGTCTCCGCCTCTTGTCTTCCACCCGCTCGCTCCCAGATGCTCTCTCCTTCTGCCCTCCTCCACCTCCCTTTCTTCCCCTTGCCCCCTGCTGGCCCCCTCACTTCGACAGTCTTCCTTCTCCCCTCCTCCTAGTTTGCTTTGGAGCTGGCAACTGCCCAGCTGCCGTGGGATTGTAGCTATTTGTGTCTCCCGCCAACTGCAACTTCCGAGTCTATCCAAACGTACCTGGATGGGCCTGTTGCTCTCTGGAGCTGGCCCCACGCTCAGCCAAGTTTGAGGCCCGTTTGTTTTCTCTACGTGGTGGATGCAACCCAAAGGGTGTTTTGGCCCTACCCCTGCTGCCGTGGCTTCCCTTCCAAGGTAAAAGGATAAGTGGACTTGGGTAGCAGCACAAAGGATGCAAGTTAGACTCAAGAAGGCACTTCCTGTCATTGCAAATGACATGCTAGCAGGGTTCCAGGAGGAATTCCAAAGGACTCTGGAATAGGATAATTTGGGCATCGCTTAGGATGAGCTAGGTATGCACCTTTAGTCCGTGTCAGCTCTGAGAGTCTTTCACTTTAGGTGAGGGGGTCAGTCTAATCTATCTGGCCTTTGTCACCTGACCCACTTCTCCTGCCACCTTCCTTTCTATCCACTGCCCAATTAGTATCTCCCCAGGTTTTTTGGTCTTCTTTTTTCACCCACCCACAGGAACTAGAAAGTTCTCTAAAGCTGTCCCATCCAATGTGGTAACTGCAAGCCACACGTGCCCATTCAAATGCAAATAATGAAAGGTGAAGAAAATGTAAAATTCAGCTCCTCAGACACACTAGCCACATTTCGAGTGCTCCGTGGGCACCTATGGCTGGTGGCTACCCCACTGGCCAGCACAGAGAGTCTTCATCATCACTGCAGAGGGTGCTGATGGACAGAGCTGCTCCCGCACATTCCCACCAAACACCCACCCGGGAGCCTAACGCCAGCATGTCATCTCCCGGCTTCTGTAGGCACAGCTTGTCTCGTCACTCTGGGGTGTCTAGGAGTCCGTGGAATTCAAGTATGCTTTAGGATCTCAGGATTTGGCCCGAAAGCTGTAAGCAGCAAGATCAATGCAGGGTCATTCCCCCTGCGCTCTGACTGGCTGCTTCTGTCTTTGTCTTGCTGTAACAGGACTGAGTCAGTGGCCGAGAAGATGCTGACCAACTGGTTCACCTTCCTGCTCTACAAGTTCCTCAAGGTACGATTGTATGTGGGGCTATCTCTGGCGCTGCCTGTTACCCACCCCCCCGGCTTCCCTGCACACCCCAAAACCCACATTCCCCAGGCCTGACTCTTAGAACCCCACCAAGAAATGCTGTCCCCCTCCTCACTGTCACTGTCACCGAGGGGGCAGACTCCTGACCATCTCAGGAGACAGAGCCCACCCACCCCCCACCACCCCGTCGGTCCTGGCGTGAGAGACAGTCTCCTCCTACAGGCCAGGGGGAGAAGAGCCCATGAGAGGACCCCGTGGGAGCCCTAAAGCCAAATTCCCTTTGTAAGCTCAAAACAACTCACCCCTTAGTTCCCTGCTTTCCGTCTTCCTCCCCCACCACCTCTCCCAGTCCCAGACTCCCCGAGGCTGATCAAGGTCCCGGGCAGGTACCATGGCCCGTGTGGCAGCGGATAAGCTGCCCACGTGCCTGGGTGGGGGAAGAGCAACCCGACTTCCAATTATGAGCTTGCTTTCTGAGGACTTCGCAGCCCCAGGACTGACCTCTGTCTCTGATGGGCCACCGAGGAAGCAGCTGGAGTCGGGTGGGGAGAAGAAACAGAGAGGGGACAGGAGGTGGGGAGGTGAAGAAGAGAGGGCAGACAGGAGAAGACAGGTGGTCCAGAGGAAGGGGGAGTTGACAACGGAGGAGGACCGGGAGCAGGAGAGAACTGGAGCAGAGGAGTGGAAAGCAGCCCTTTGAGAAATGGGCTCCGGGAGGTTGGTCCAGAGTCCGGCCAGCACAGTTCTTCTCTGCGTCCAGGAGTGTGCTGGGGAGCCCCTGTTCTCGCTCTTCTGTGCCATCAAGCAGCAGATGGAGAAGGGGCCCATCGACGCCATCACGGGAGAGGCCCGTTACTCTCTGAGCGAGGACAAGCTCATCCGCCAGCAGATCGACTACAAAACCCTGGTAAAACAGCCTCACGGCTTTGCCCCGTGCCCCTGGTAACGGGGCTGTCCCCTGCCCAGCAGAGCGGATGGTGGAAACGCTGAAAAGCCGCCTGGCCTGGTTGGCCTGCTGCACAGGCCCAGCCGGGTGTCCCACGCAGGCCTGTCACCCCAGACTCCCCTAGGACCCCCACACCAGGGCACCTGGATTTGGGGACCGGTAGCTCAGGCACGTCTGAGCAACACTTCAGCAGAGACTAGTGTGGTTCCAAGCCAGTGCGCTGAACGTGGGGTCATAAGCCCTCACCAGCAGCGGGCTGGTGGATTGCGCTCAGTGAACTCCTCATCGGCTCTCCCAGGGTGGGGAGGGACACTTCCATGCAGAGCAGGTGGGGGCCCGAAGGAGAGAAAAACAAGGAAAGAGTTCCTTGTGTTTTGGAAGCCCACCTCTGCCCACGGGTCTAAGGTCAAATACCCCCATGACCTGAGAATGTGAGACCGGATTGGCCTAGTGATTAACGCCTTTGTCCAGGGAACATGGGGATTCCCTCTGTCAAGGTTAGACCCCCTCTCTGATAGCAGCTCTCACCCTAGGAGGCAGCCGAACGCCACATGGAGGAGAGCATGAGGTCTGGATTGGAACCCTGACTCTGCTTCTGAGCAGCTGGGTGATTTGGAGCAGGTCCCTCAATCTCTCCAAGCTGGGGTGTCTTTATCTGAAAAAACGGAGGATAACACTAGAACTTATTTACACAGGGATAATAATAGTGCATACCTCCCAGAGTTGTCCGGAGGATGGACTGGGGCAAGGCGTGCGAGGCAGGCAGCACAGAGTAAGTGCCCAGTACTGCTCACGGAGGCCCTGCCACTGCTTTCCCACGCCTGTCTGCCTGTCTGCTGGCTGCCACTGTCCCTCCAGGCCAGGGCGCTCACCCTCACTCTTGGCCCTTTTGGACGGTTGTGTGATTTCCCACCAGGCCTCCGCTAGGAAAGCGGAGAGGATGTGAAAGGAAGGAGGTAGAAAATAAGATCGCAGGTGTCTGGGGTGAAGCATGGGTGGAGACAAAGATGGGGGGTGTGTGTGGAGAGAAAATAGATGGGATTTAAATGCACTTATGGGGAGGGGCGCCTGGGCAGCTCCGTCAGTTAAGCGTCCAACTCTTGATCGCAGCTCAGGTCAGGACCTCAGGGTCTTGAGATGGAGCCCCATGTTGGGCTCCGCACTGGGCGTGGAGCCTGCTTAAGATTCTCTCTCTCTCTCTCTGCCCCTCCCCCCTCGCTCTCTAAACAAATAAAAATAAAATAAATGTGCTCATGGGGAGATGAGACCCACACAGGCAGGGCCAGGACAGGGCAGAGCAGGGCTGAGCCGGGCAGGAACAGTGAGCCCAGGGTATACCCCAGACCCCCAGGAGAGCAGGAAGATGGTCCCTCCTGGCTGGGAATGATGCGGCTGTGAGGCACATTTCCCCCTCCGTCTTCAGCGGGCTGGGGGGGGTCCCAGTGGGCTCCCCGGAGGAGGCTTCAGAGGAGCAGCGGTGACTGGGGACCTTGCTTCCTTACAGTTACGTTCTGCTCCAGAGGAGAGAGTTAGAGGCTCTGATTAAAATGAGAAAGGGTGGTGGTGGGGGTGGGGTGGGGACTCTTCCCAAAATAGAGACCGGAATAGATTTTTAATGAGCTAGAAGCACCACTGAAAGTCTCGTGCCTGACCTCCCCCCACCCCTTCCTTTCCCATCCCAGCCCCGTTCCTCAGGACCGAATCCAGCACAGTGAGCTGAGATGATGCGCTGTCCCCAGACGGGCAGCAGCCTTGACTCCAGAGGCCAGGCTGCTTTCAGATGATGGGACTTAGGGTCCCTGTGAGGAACATGGGGTGGGTTGAGAGAGCACAGCCATCAGGTGGAGAGCCTGGGGAAAGAGACATCCCGAGGAGAGGAAGAAGAAATTGCAATTGTTTTGCCCAAGGAAGAAAGGGCTGCAGGGAGATGTAAGGCCACCTCAGGCCGGAGAAAAGGACCTCAACAGGCAGAAGGGGAGCAGCCCCTGGCTGGTGAGGAGGGAAAGAAAGAAAGGGAAAGCTAGAGGAGCCCTGGACAGTCTGGGCCAACTGATGCTGTTGTTGTCCTGGGCCGGAGGGATACCCAAAAGGAGAAAGGTGCTGAGAGGCTCAGGGCTGCATCACTTTATAGCTAGGTGACCTTCAGTTGTGTGATTAATTGGCTTGACACTAGAACTTGAGCTCCCCTGTTCTAGGGCCCTGCTGCTGGGAGTGCCTACTGGCATCACCCAGGAGCCTGCTAGTGGGTGCTCACCGGGGAGCCTGTGAGGTGCTGGGTGCTGGATGCAAACAAACCCCCCCCCCCCTCCGCCGGGTGATTCTATTCACATTAAAACTTGAGAAGCACTGAGCTAGCAGAAAAAAAACAAAAAAGGCAAAAAACCCCAGGCAGTTTGTTCAGAAACTAACCAAGGGGCATAGGAATGGGAATGGGGAAGGGATGTTCTGGGTGGAGCTGTGGTTTGGCCAGTGGCCAGGAAACCCTGTCCCTCAGAATGGCTACTGACTACCGCTTCTTCTCTGAATGCCCTGAAGCATCCCACGGGGTTCTGCTAGGGCCACCATAAACCCCTGAGGCAAGTAGAAATGTCAGAAGGGCATACTCAGGGGGCAGCCTCTGCCTCAGTGTCCCTCAGGGGACGATGCCCAGATAAGGCTGCGTTGCTGCTTGGGGGAGCCTGAGCCCAGGACAGCACAAAGTGACAGGCTGTTCTTGGCCACAGAGGGGGCAGCGAGGGTCCCAGAAAGCTTTAGAAGGATCAGCTGGGAGAGGGCACTCAGAAGAGACCCACGGTCCAGAGTTCCTTCCACCATTGTTTTCAGTTTAGGACATTTTGAGGGTGAGAGTTTGGTTTTGTAGATTTAGGAGGTTTTTTCCTGCTTAATGGAAGAAGCATGTTCTCATGTGAGCTCGCAGCAGTCTGGCTACTAATGAAAGGCAGGTGTCCAGGGGCCAGGGTTCTGATTGCCACCACGTGGAGCAGGGGTGGGGGAGGAAACTGTCCTCAGAGTCTGCAGGCCTACAATCGGAGGTGGGGGCATGCAGCGAGAGACCAGGGAGGGAGGTGGTGGGGGTGCAGCGAGAGATCAGGCAGGGAGGTGGGGGGG